ATAATGACTACCACTATTACTAGCAATACCTACTCCCCTGCCGCCACGATATAATGACTCACTACTACTACCGGCAATACCTACTCCCCTGCCGCCATAACGATATAATGACTACCTACTATTACTAGCAATACCTACTCCCCTGCCGCTAAACGATATAATGACTACTACTACTTACCAGCAATAGCTACTTCCCTGCCGCCAATGATATAATGACTACTACTACTACCGGCAATACCTACTCCCCTGCCGCTAATGATATAATGACGACTACTACTACCAGCAATAGCTACTCTGCCGCTAATGATATAATGACTACTACTCACTACTACCGGCACACCTACTTCCCCTGCCGCTAATAATATAATGACTACTACCGCTTTACCAGCAATAGCCACTCCCCTGCCGCTAATGATATAATAACTACTACTATTACTACCAGCAATAGCTACTCCCCTGCCGCCACGATATAATGACTACCACTACTTACTCAACAATACCTACTCCCCTGCCGCTAATGATATAATGACTACCACCACTACTACCAACAATAGCTACTTCCCTGCCGCACATGATATAATGACTAACACTACTTACCAGCACAGCTATTCCTGCCGCCACGATATAATGACGACTACTACTACCAGCAATAGCTACTTCCCCTGTCGCTAAAGATATAATAACTACTACTACTACCAGCAATAGCTACTCCCCTGCCGCCAATGATATAATGACTAACACTACTTACCAGCAATAGCTACTCTGCCGCTAACGATATAATGACTACTACTGCTTACCAGCAATAGCTACTTCCCCGCCGCTAATGATATAATGACTACTACTACTTACCAGCAATAGCTACTTCCCCTGCCGCTAATGATATAATGACGACTACTACTACTACCAGCAATAGCTACTTCCCCTGCCGCTAATGATATAATGACTAACACTACTTTACCAGCAATAGCTACTTCTCCTGCCGCTAGCATGATATAATGACGACTACTACTACCAGCAATAGCTACTTCCCTGTCGCTAATGATATAATAACTACTACTACTACCAGCAATAGCTACTTCCCTGCAGCTAATGATATAATGACTACTACTACTTACCAGCAATAGCTACTTCCCCTGCCGCTAATGATATAATAACTACTACTACTACTAGCAATAGCTACTTCCCCTGCCGCTAATGATATAATGACTACTACTACTACTACCAGCAATAGCTACTTCCCCTGCCGCTAATGATATAATGACTAACACTACTTACCAGCAATAGCTACTTCCCCTGCCGCTAATGATATAATGACGACTACTACTACCAGCAATAGCTACTTCCCCTGTCGCTAATGATATAATGACTACTACTACTACCAGCAATAGCTACTTCCCCTGCCGCTAATGATATAATGACTAACACTACTTACCAGCAATAGCTACTTCCCCTGCCGCTAATGATATAATGACGACTACTACTACCAGCAATAGCTACTTCCCCTGCCGCTAATGATATAATGACGACTACTACTTACCAGCAATAACTACTTTCTGCCGCTAATGATATAATGACGACTACTACTTACCAGCAATAGCTACTCCCCTGCCGCTAATGATATAATAACTACTACTACTACCAGCAATAGCTACTCCCCCCGCTAATAACGATATAATGACTACTACTACTACCAGCAGTAGCTACTCCCATGCCGCCAATGATATAATGACGACTACTACTTACCAGCAATAACTACTTCCCCTGCCAAGCAATGATATAAATGACTGCCACTACTCTACCAGCAATAACTACTCCCCTGCCGCTAATGATATCAAGACTGCCACTACTTACACAGCAACAGCCACTTCCCCGCCGCTAATGATATAATGACTACTACTAGTACCGGCACACCACTCCCCTGCCGCTAATGATATAATGACTACTACTACTTTACCAGCAATAGCTACTTCCCCTGCCGCTAATGATATAATGACCACTACTCACTTTACCAGCAATAGCTACTCTGCAGCCAATGATATAATGACTACTACCACTTACCAGCAATAGCTACTCCCCCCTGCCGCGCAATGATATAATGACTACCACTCGCTTACCAGCAATAGCTACTTCCCTGCCGCCACGATATAATGACTAATACTGCTTACCAGCAATAGCTACTCTCCGCCGCCACGATATAATGATCTACCACTACTTACCAGCAATAGCTACTTCCCCTGCAGCTAATGATATAATGACTACTCACTACTACCAGCAATAGCTACTTCCCCGCCGCTAATGATATAATGACTACTACTACTGCCAGCAATAGCTACTCCTGGCGCTAATGATATAATGACTACTACTATTTACCAGCAATGGCTACTTCCCCTGCCGCTAATGATATAATGACTACTACTATTTACCAGCAATAGCTACTTCCCTGCCGCTAATGATATAATGACTACTACTACTTACCAGCAATAGCTACTTCCCCTGCCGCTAAAGATATAATGACTACTACTACTACCAGCAATAGCTACTTCCCCTGCCGCTAATGATATAATGACTCACTACTACTTACCAGCAATAGCTACTTCCCCTGCCGCTAATGATATAATGACTACTACTACCAGCAATAGCTACTTCCCCTGCCGCTAATGATATAATGACTACTACTACTTACCAGCAATAGCTACTTCCCCTGCCGCTAATGATATAATGACTACTACTACTTACCAGCAATAGCTACTTCCCTGCCGCTAATGATATAATAATGACACCACTACTTACCAGCAATAGCTACTCCCCTGCCGCTAATGATATAATGACGACTACTACTTACCAGCAATAGCTACTTCCCCTGCCGCTAATGATATAATGACTACTACTACTTACCAGCAATAGCTACTTCCCCTGCCGCTAATGATATAATGACCACTACTACTTACCAGCAATAGCTACTTCCCCTGCCGCTAATGATATAATGACTACTACCACTACTTACCAGCAATAGCTACTTCCCCTGCCGCTAATGATATAATGACTACTACTACTTACCAGCAATAGCTACTTCCCCTGCCGCTAATGATATAATGACTACTACTACTTACCAGCAATAGCTACTTCCCCTGCCGCTAATGATATAATGACTACTACTACTTACCAGCAATAGCTACTTCCCCTGCCGCTAATGATAATGAATACTACTACTACTACTTACTTCCCCGCCGCTAATGATATAACGACTACTACTACTTACCAGCAATAGCTACTTCCCTGCCGCTAATGATATAATGACTACTACCTACTTACCAGCAATAGCTACTCCCCTGCCGCTAATGATATAATGACTACTACTACTACTACCAGCAATAGCTACTTCCCCTGCCGCTAATGATATAATGACTACTACTACTTACCAGCAATAGCTACTTCCCCTGCCGCTAATGATATAATGACTACTACTACTTACCAGCAATAGCTACTTCCCCTGCCGCTAATGATATAATGACTACTACTACTTACCAGCAATAGCTACTTCCCCTGCCGCTAATGATATAATGACTACTACTACTTACCAGCAATAGCTACTCCCCTGCCGCTAATGATATAATGACTACTACTACTTTACCAGCAATAGCTACTTCCCCTGCCGCTAATGATATAATGACTACTACTACTACCAGCAATAGCTACTTCCCCTGCCGCTAATGATATAATGACTACTACTACTACTTACCAGCAATAGCTACTTCCCCTGCCGCTAATGATATAATGACTACTACTACTTACCAGCAATAGCTACTTCCCCTGCCGCTAATGATATAATGACTATTACTACTTACCAGCAATAGCTACTTCCCCTGCCGCTAATGATATAATGACTACTACTACTTACCAGCAATAGCTACTTCCCCTGCCGCTAATGATATAATGACTACTACTACTACCAGCAATAGCTACTTCCCCTGCCGCTAATGATATAATGACTACTACTACTTACCAGCAATAGCTACTTCCTGCCGCTAATGATATAATGACTACTACTACTACCAGCAATAGCTACTTCCCCTGCCGCTAATGATATAATGACTACTACTACTACCAGCAATAGCTACTTCCCCTGCCGCTAATGATATAATGACTACTACTACTACCAGCAATAGCTACTTCCCCTGCCGCTAATGATATAATGACTACTACTACTACCAGCAATAGCTACTTCCCCTGCCGCTAATGATATAATGACTACTACTACTTACCAGCAATAGCTACTTCCCCTGCCGCTAATGATATAATGACTACTACTACTTACCAGCAATAGCTACTTCCCCTGCCGCTAATGATATAATGACTACTACTACTTACCAGCAATAGCTACTTCCCCTGCCGCTAATGATATAATGACTACCTACTACTACCAGCAATAGCTACTTCCCCCTGCCGCTAATGATATAATGACTACTACTACTTACCAGCAATAGCTACTTCCCCTGCCGCTAATGATATAATGACTACTACTACTTACCAGCAATAGCTACTTCCCCTGCCGCTAATGATATAATGACTACTACTACTACCAGCAATAGCTACTTCCCCTGCCGCTAATGATATAATGACTACTACTACTTACCAGCAATAGCTACTTCCCCTTGCCGCTAATGATATAATGACTACTACTACTACCAGCAATAGCTACTTCCCCTGCCGCTAATGATATAATGACTACCACTACTACTTACCAGCAATAGCTACTTCCCCTGCCGCTAATGATATAATGACTACTACTACTTACCAGCAATAGCTACTTCCCCTGCCGCTAATGATATAATGACTAACACTACTTACCAGCAATAGCTACTTCCCCTGCCGCTAATGATATAATGACTACCACTACTTACCAGCAATAGCTACTTCCCCTGCCTCTAATGATATAATGACTAACAGTAGTATTTTTCTTCATCTTGTTCTAAAGTTTGTTAACAACACCCTCATTTCAGGTGTGGTAACCGTACAAACACCCACGACAACAATAGATCCACTAGAAGGACCAGCTGTATACTCTGACTTCAAGCGGTATAGCGGCTCCGAGGCCTTTGAGTGGATTCAAACCCGGAACGTTACATCCAGGCTAGACTGTGCCAGGAAATGCAACATGCTGACCAACTGTGTTATGTTCAAAGTATTGGCGGAGAATACCAGCATGACGTGTTCGATGATGGCGTTGTCGTCGACGGGGTCTGTGTCAGACTGCTCTAGTCCTACTCGCTGTTACAGGAAGCACTCAAGTGAGCTGCTGTAGCTCATCAATAAGGAGTGTGTCGAAATGGTCCAGACCTCTGGGCCTTCTCGTTGCTACAGGAATCAATGTGTCGAAATGATTTACCCTACTCTACTACTCGATGTGTAGGGGCGCTGTTAAAGGGGTATGCCTACACCTACTCGCTGTTAAAGCGTTATCTGTCAAACGCCTGTTACATGGGTACAATGTGTGAAGCCTATTTCTGCTGTTACAGGAAGAAATGTATCGAACTTTTTGGGCCCTACTAGCTGTTGCAGAAAGCGACGTGTCGAATTGCTCTCGGCCTTATTGTTGTTATAGAATGCACGATGTGTGTGTACGTGTGTGTGTGCTTTCTTACACATTTGTTTTGAAAATCACTGGTTTTCTTTCTTCACTTTGTCGGGTAATTTTGTCTTCTCGTGTGCAGTATGTCCCGTCTCTGGACGAGTTTTGACATTTTGAATTTTCTGGAATATGACTAACCTGACCATTGTATTTAAGGAAGACGTAAAAAATCAAACTAGCTTGTGTATATATATGAACACTACCTTTTGTCATTTGCTGGCATTACATCTACGGTGTTTCTCTCCCTCTTGTACATTCCGGAACTGGTGTGAGATTTTCGTCTTTTTCCAAAATAGACGCCTCTTTGTCATGGTTCAAGGTCAAGGTCAAGGTCAAGGTCGCCCACACGTAACTGATACTTATACCTGTCAGCTGCCAATGCACATTAATGTCCGCTAGAACCATTTCACACTTGACAGTTTACAAACATCTGATACGTTTGTTTGTTTTCTACACATGTCCGGACCGCCTCCGTGGTGTAGTGTGGTTAGAGCGTCCGCCCAGAGAGCGGAAGGTCGCGGGTTCGATCCCCGATCGCGTCATACCATAAGACGTTAAAATGTGGTACTTGTTGGTCCCTGCCTGGCGCTCGGCATTAATGGGTACAACAAGGACTGGTCGGCTCGGAGTCAGTATAATGTGTCTGAGTTGGGTATTCATGCTTCACTGCGGCATGGTATCTCAGTGGGCTAGCACTATAAAACCAGCTTCAGTCTGGGCTAGTACAAGCAGCCGCACATACACATACACACACATGCACGTCGCCATATGAGCGAAATATTCTCAAGCACGACGTTAAACCCAATTTCACCTCACCTCACCTCACCTACACATGCAGTTGACAAGATACAAACCTATTAGTTACATCTCTGTGTCTCGATGTTTTCTTGCCTCTGTCTATATTTTCTAAATTAGCAAGTGTTCTGAATTTCAATTGCAAATATTACACCATGCTGAGAACCATAGTACCCGGAACTGAGCCAGATATGCGTATACAATGAAAAACATTGCAGCATCTCGAAATATTTTGCTTTGTATAAAATATGTTTTACATTTGCAGTTGGTCTTAAGATTTTGAAGCATGTTCCATCCTGCACTCTCTGATGGAATCTGAATGAGTTCATGTATTATGCCACCACCGGGGAACAGTTGGTTTCCTTTATCTGCCGAAATGTATTCCACAGCATAAAAAGCAAATATTGATGTTACGTCAATGGACTACTGAGAATCAGCGCCATTATCCAGCACCGATTAAGAATTATCTTCTGTCTGACTAAACTTAAGCGTAACTCATGTCGTTATTGAAAATCCTAAGGCCACCCATAAAGCGCTGAACTCCAACATAAGGGACATATTTACCCCGAATAACCCAGACGGTTAATAGTCCAATGACGTATCCCATCGGGTACCCATTTTCTGCTGAGTGAACATAGGTATTGTTTAACAAACTCACTTGCCTAAAGACCGCATTTGTCACGTGTGCTTGTTGTGGGGTCGGACTGAAAACATAGAAACTCTCAGAAGCCAAGCTGCCAGACAGGGTCAGCCTTCCAAGGACTCTCCGTGACCAACGTTGCTCAAGGTCAACTTATTGGTGACCTTGGCTGTATGCACAGGACCACACAACAACACACTGAGGAATGATTCATAAATGAAACGCCCACACACTGTATACATCAATTTAGAATTTATTTCTGGTACATCCTTCAGTGACGAGTAAAAAGGTCTACCGCTGACGCATCATTTGCTGGTTCTGCATCATTCTGAAGAGAGACACGTCATAGATTAACGCTCAGCCAGTGTCGAAGTGTTGTTTTAAGCCGCAGTAAGCAATATTCCAGCTCCACCATTGTGCTCAGGAAACCAATATAGATATGGTTTGATAATAAAACGTAAGTCACACGAGAATGGGAATGATGACCGCAAGCAATGAAGACAAATAGCAGGATCACTCCAACAGTGTAGTCGCCTGTTGTGAGGTTTTGAGTCTTGTGACCTAGTCCTCAAGAGTCACCATCTCGGGAATGACGAATACTCATTTATGGAAACCAACTCGGACATATCTCACATTTACAAAAGTAATAGATAAATACAATTTTTGGGGACATGATATCTAAGAAGTTGATATTTGGTACCAAATACTGGTACAACGTAATGTTATTGGAGTCATGAAGTGCTGATATAAAGTTAACTGGTATACTATAGTTAAAGTCATACTATAGTAGTATACTGTCATGAATTATCAGTATAAAGTAATGATATAACGTAATGGTTTAGTGTAATGATATAAAGTTATTTAATAAAGTTCTGATATATAGTAGTAGTTTAGAGTAATGAGATATAAAGTTTTGATATAAAGTAAAGATATATGGTAGTGGTTTATATTATAAAGATATAAAGTTCTGGTATAGGAAAAGTTCCGGTAATGATGATATAAAGTAATGGGACAACGTAATGGTATTTAGGCTGGGTTTTGGTAGTGTTTCTTATTTGTGACTAAGTTAGAGGAACTTGTTATATATACAGACATGGAGCACACGCATTGATACACTCACACCCGTGATATATATACTTACTTCAGAGGACTGACTAATTTATTGTAGACTTTATCGGAGATCTTCCCACTTTCTCTCCTCTGCTCCAACCACTTCAGACGATCTGTTGGAACAGAGCAATCCATACTTGGACAGTTCTTGATCTCAGCTATATATATATATATATATATATATATGTACATATTGTACTGTTAATCTTTCAATATATATATATATATATGCCGTATCGTTTTCTTCTAGGAACAAACTCGGATATTTAAAGCATGGAGTCAGTCAGTCAGTCAGTCAGTTGGAAGGAAGAGGTCAGTCCAGTCCAGTCAGTCCAATGGAAGGGAAGGAGGTAGGTTGCTTATTTTGGTAGGTCGGTGGGTGGTTGAATGAGAGGGGATGGAAGGAGGTAGGGTGGAGTTGTTGTAAGTGATTGAAGGAGGTAGAGTTGGTTGATGGGTGAATGGAGGTGAGGAGATGGAAGAAGGGATGAGGGAGGACGTAGGGGTGGGTCAGTGGAGGTCGGTGGGTGATTGAAGGAGGACGTAAGAGTGGGTAGGTTTATGTGGAGGGTAGAGTGAAGGGGCAGGGTGAGGAATCGATGTAGGGTTGGTATGTTCGTTGGTGGGAGGTGGATGAGTAAGTGAGTGAGTAAGAGTACTGAGCTTACCAACCTCTTTCTTTTTAAATATAGATCGTAGATCTCCATTTGTACTGAACATTTCTAAATACCACGTTGAGTATTGGGGACAGGGGATCAAGGACTTATTTCAGTAAATTCTCAAAAGAGAAACTGTACAAGACAAGTCATTCGATATTACAGTCACATTCAATACCACTTACTTTCCAACTGCGTCAGGGGAAGACTAAACCTTTGCTTCTCAAAATTCTGAAACATAAAACTGATTATAAACAACGTCATATGAACCAATATGTCATGCGAAACAAAGGAACATAACCAAAAGGCGACCAAATTAAGATCGGTAATATCCCTTATTAATAGAGTGAGTGGTATTTGACATGGTTTTACACGCCGATCCCAAGCAATGTACCCGCAATATCAGGCGGACACATGAAAAAGACTTCACACATTGTACCCATGTAGGGAATCGAGAACGACAGTGAACTCTTTGATCGCAAGGAGCTTTAGCATCGCCCTCAGATCAATAAAAGGACAAGATGGCCAAAGTACAACATACAATTGTGAGTTATTGTTCAGTGTTTTCATTTCAAACACCGTTCTGTCGAAGTTTAAGAGGACCTAAGTGCATCCAGTTATCCAAAATGCAGAAACAAACGCCAAGTAATGACTAATCACTACGAAATGTACATACGTTCGAGACAATCGTACGCCTGACACAACGGTATTCGAGAATTGGCATTGCATTGGCGGAGTGGGTTGGGTAATGTTGACCAGGGTTTTATTCTATTTATAACATATATATATAAACGTATCGCCACTTCTTTACTCCCATTGCCTTGAGGGTGACTCGTTATCTCATAGAAACTTCTCCAACGTCTGAGTTTCCAACGTTGGGTAGTTCAACAGTATTCAGTGTGGAAGGCTGATGGATGGTGAAAGCCTCGAGTGATGCAACTCTTTGGAGCTATCATCAATTTTGTTAAGCAGGCACATGTATGTTTTGACAAGAGCTAAAACTCATTATTATCAGCGGTGAGACTAGCACTCTAGATGAAACGATGTCCATCCAACCTTTGAAGGGCATTTTGGAAGTGAAAAACAAAGATGTATGGATGCCAAGTTCTTTATTGTGAATAAGAGCACGGCATTTCAGAAGTGTATGCTTGCTCCTTCATCCAGGCAGCAACTAGATGAAGGAACAAGCTATACTCAAATCTTCTTTACTCAACATCCATGTTAATTTAGTTTTACCATGCTTGGCACACCACACCCGTATTGAACAACAAAGGTATCTGTTCATGATTGTAATGGAGGAACACGAGCTACAAGGTTTAATAGAAGTATGGGTTGGTATGTGACTTTAAATTATTGTGTTTTCATCCACCTGTATCTGAACAAATCTGGGGCGTGGCCCAGTGGTTAAGAGCGCCGCTCGTAATGTCGACAGGTTTCGTTACACGGGTACAATGTAACGGAACCGCATGTTGGAGTGCCGCAGATATTGCTGGAATAGTGTAGAAAACAGCGCAAATCATACTCACTCACTTTTCTGTTTCTGCATACTTGCTTTC